ATTGCACAAACATGAAAAAAAATCATAAAAATGTGAAAAAAAAATCTCTTATATATATTTTTTTTAAAAAATAGCTCTACTATCATTTGAAAAAGGTCAAATACTTATTCAATGTTATTTAATATGTTGTTTTTTAAAGTAAGCTAATCGTCCCAGTCACATATTAGTTGGATTCGTGGAAGCAACATTAACTCTAGATGTATATACTATTCACAAAAAAAAAAACGTAGACCTTGTCTATTAGAAGTTGTATTTTAAATAATATTTCGACTGTAGTATTTTTTATCAAATGTATCTTGTTTTTTGATCATCTAAGGATCATGGTTACGAGTTTAAAAATACACTGAAATTTAACTTGAAAATTTGATTTGATCAATCAATATCATTGATTTAGTTGTAGGTCTTAACATTTATTAAAACTTACTACTATTCAATGATTGTAATTCATCAAGTCAGCAAATCATGTCAACTTTTTAAATACAAATAACATTTCCCATTTAAAAATTAGGTTGCTAATGGAATTCTGTACATTGAATGAAGCAAAAAAAGACAGGTTTTGTAAATTTGAGTGTAAGATAGAATTAGTCATATTTGAATGACACTTTGATATATTTTGTTCTTTCTAAGCTTGATAGAAGAGCACTAGTGATGGAAAAAGCCTATAGCTTTCTACTCAAACTTCTTTGAACATCGACTTATACAGACAAAGAAATCTACTAAAGAGATTTGGGTCCATCTTGATGAGACAAAGCAAGCCAAACCCAACATATATATATATATATATATATATATATATATATAGGACAGCGCCTAAATATGATTCAACTGACTAAACACTCACACACTAGTATTTCTTTTTCCTTTATCAATCCTCCTGTCTTTTTCAAGGGGTAAGTTTGTGTCGTTGTATTATAGAACTATCACAAGTTTGATTCACAAAAATATCACNAAACACTCACACACTAGTATTTCTTTTTCCTTTATCAATCCTCCTGTCTTTTTCAAGGGGTAAGTCTGTGTCGTTGTATTATAAAACTATCACAAGTTTGATTCACAAAAATATCACACTACACTTTGAGTAAGACAACATACATTTAAACCATACATTCTCAAATTCTATAGCAAAAAGAATCTCGTACACTGGAATACCTAGTCCTTCCGCTTTCATTAATGTATGGGAAAAATGATGGTTATCCCAACGGCTAGCTTTAGCATAACAATCATGTTATGATGCTAATAATTCATAAAGTAATTCAGCATAGGACAGCATTAAGGGAGCATTTAAGGGCCTCTTCATATTAGTTTTCTCCATCTAACCTGTCGGCCACTTTATGCATCTTCATTGCATAAGATAAATTACATCAACTTCTCCTGGTCGCTCAGTTGAGATTCGTATCAGCACAGGAAAAGTTCATACCGAATCAAATTCCTTATGGGCTAACCCGTTTTTATGGTGATACACCACCACTTTTTTTTCATTAAACTTCGTCATTTTAAGGTGATGTTGCTATAGTATGATGTCGAAAAGTAAAATATAGATATCACAGTGATACCTTTTAAAAGCTTGGTCTAAGTTCAAAGTTACAAATCTTTTGTCCAACTCGATCACATTTTATTAGAATATTTCTCCAAATTCAAACCAGGAAAAGTTTCTCTCTTGCTTGTCAGTGTCGTTGAAACAAGAATGAAAAAAACCCATATTCATGAATTTTTTTTGAATGAATTTAATACGTCAGGTAGCACTATTATATAATGTGCACACTTGATGGGAGACTAAATATCCACACAAAATACTGGCGAAACAGATATACATGAAATCTAAAAGAATAGGTACTACTTACCATCACATGTCAATGAACAATTTTCTAATAAACATGATTGAAAAAAGTGGTGGGCAAAGTGTCTATAACTAGGGAGAGACTATGGTACTGAACGAGGATTGCCATTGAAGTTACAACTTTCAAAGATTAAGTTACAATTTTTAAAAATTAAGTTATAACTTATAAGAGAGAAGTTACAATTGTTCAAGTGAAGTTCATGATCGATCATGTGTGTTTGTGATTAATTATAATTCTCTCGAATAGTTGTAACTTCTTATTTTTAAATTTGTAACTTTACCATAAAATAATAAATAATAATATTATATCAAATTTTTTTTATTCGGTACCATAACATTACCCTTATAACAACAGTATCTATTGCTCTTATTGGTGGTTAGATTTTGATTACTAGTGTGACTAATCCCTAGGCAATACAAAAGATGGGATTGGACAGTACACTTCAGTCACTCAATCTTTCCATTTGGAATATTACCTAACAATTTCAAATCATGAATTCAACCGTATGTCACAAAAACTGAAGCACGTATCACTGTAAACCAACGTAACTTTGATGGCAAAGGAAGGATAATATTATACTTAGCTAAAACATGGGATGAGAAAAAAATCAAATAAGGTGGCGCTAATATAAAAATATTTTCCATTTCACTCTCTTTCATTTAAAATTTTGATCTTATTCACATTATTTTATTATTTTTTGTGTCACTTCTTTCTAGTCAGTTGATTACCCACGAAGAGAACAAAAAGGGTAATATTTTGCATTCTTTTTGGAATTTGAGGGCAAATGCCTTGAGTTGGCTGAATTAATTTCTCTTTACTCCCACTAATAATTGAAGACTGGGTTAATTATACTTTTCACCCTCAAGGATCACCCACTTGCCATTTTATGCCCTTTATGGGAAAATATTTTTTGTACCGAATTTTGTAATCTTATTTGATGACATGATATATTATAATCATTTAATTGATAGTAAGGCTCAATTAATATTCATTGTCAATCGAATAATAAATAATGATAAAGTTAATAAATAAAATCACTAAATAAGGCCTATACAACATTGCCCTTATCTTAATCTTTTCATTTTTCCAAATATTTATTAGCAAAACTCAAAAGGAAACCTAAAAACATGGAAACTAAAAGTATATATACTATGGTATTAGCTGTTGCAGAAGGACAACATTGACAGCTTCATAATCTTGTTGAAAACCCTAATTTAGGAGGGTCACATACAAACTTGCTATGAGAATGAGAGTACACCGAAGTTCTATTCTAGCTTCCAAAAAAAGACTCAAAATTTAAACTCATACATGTGGTAACTGAGTTATTCATGTCATGCTAAACCCTAAACTATTCTAATCTTAAATCTTGAACCCTAAACAATACAAGTTTTTACTGTGTTCAAGAGTTTTTACTGCTTAAAGCCTCATTTTTTATCATTTGCATTCTAATCATTTTGTCTTTAAAACTTAAACTAAGACGAATTAATCAATTGCAAGAGATTGCATGTTTATGGTTAAAAAGGTAGACTCAAACCTAAATTATAATGTTGTTTTGATATAGAGCATCAACAAGTCTAGCATTTATATAAAGGGGAGTCACAGTATGCGGTTGGTGAGACTTGACCTCAAATCATGTCTGGAGAATAACTCTTTAACTACTCAAACAAACTCAATTTGCTTTATCTCATCAATCATATAGTTATTGATAAAGCTAAAATTATGAACACTTCAACCTTTCATGTGTTGGTTTAGCTTTCAAACAAGGGGCAGGACGACATACACCTATACGTGTCTTCAGTTTGGGGCTTCCCTAATCACATAAAACCCAAGTTTAGTTGATATTTGTAGTTTGCGAGCAAATACATACATATGAGATTTGGGCTGGGAGTCCAAAAAGTAAATAGTTAAACCATTTCCAGTTATTAAAAAAATGGATACTTCCCAAAATTTAGGGTTCAAGTTGAGGAAAACAAAGGCACTCTTATTTACAGGTAAAGCATGTTTAGGAAAAAATATTCATTGCAACGGTAAATCATTAGCATTACCATGTGGTATTATCAACCAATAATATATGGACAAATAAGAACATAGTCTTCACACAAATCAATAATTACCTGTTCATGTAAGTCAATAACTACCAACTCATTTTGTATGTAAGTCAATAACTATTCATGTGTGATTCACTTTGTCCACTTGAAATTTTATTATTGATTAGTGATATCATATTTACAATCACCATTGTATTCAATATTTTCTCCACCTTTACATTTCCTAATGTTAAGGAGAATAACTGAATAAGAATTAAATGGTTTACACTTCAAGTGTTCAAAAGAGATATTTTTAAGAGTAATATTACACTGACCAAATTTTATGACAAAATCAAGATCCCAAATGACATGACAACTAACTTGAATTTTTTTATTTTGTGTCATATTATTTGAGTCCCAATAAAAACTTCAAATAATATGCTGTCATGTTATTTGAACTCTTGATTTGATCTCTAAATTTGATCAGCATAGCATTATTGTACTTTTAAAGTGTTTAAAATTCCAAATCTAACCTCTTACGTATAAATTTGGAAAGTCACGAGTCTTATGCATAGATTTTTCAAAGAGCCACTGGAATATTGGGACATCCAAAAATGAAATAGGGGACTATGACTATTTGGTGGGATAGAGGAATTAATAAATTCCTTTTTTAGGTATATTCATTCCAAACTATAATGCAATACCAAAAAGCAAGTCATCCTTATCTTAGACGATCTTTCGGAAACCATAACCAAAGACTAAACACGAAAATGGACAACCCAAAAGACAACAACTACAAAAAAAGAGACAAGAGTGGGAAGACAAAGAAAAGTAGATACAACATTCAATGGGGCATATTTGCCACCAAAAGAGGTAGATGGTGTTCTTCATGAGTTTCAATCAAAAGCCTAATGACTCGAACAGTTCTCTCTCTCTCTCTCCCCCCCCCCCCCCTCTCTCTTTCCTCCTCCTCTTACACATACACACCCAATTGTTTCTATAATAAGGCCTTATAACTGTATATTCTCCTTCCATATAGGGCACCATAACATTTATTTCTAATCAATAACATTACAACCTTCTTGGTATTAAACACAATCTTTATCACCCACAAGGCTTGCTTCAAGTCCTCCATATGGAGGTACCAAAACTAAAGCCATGTACTCGCTCTAAAAGTCCAAGCATCATTTCAGTCTCAGAAACCCTACCATGCCTGAATAGCTCAATGGAGATTCAAAAAGTACAGGGTAAACAAATGGAAAAACAAGATCAAAAGCAAGAAGTAGAGAAGAACCCTGATTTTATATTGGATTTAAACCTCTGTAGCAAGGATTCAGATCAAGACATCAAGCCAGAACTCAATCTCATTGATTGTTTTCGCATGAGTTCATCAAGAAATTCACTAGAGACTCCTCAAGGTAATAAAGGTGAGCCACCACAAGTCTTCCCATGCAACTACTGCCAAAGAAAATTCTACAGTTCACAGGCCCTTGGAGGCCATCAAAATGCACACAAACGAGAGCGGACAATAGCAAAACGAGGGCAGCAGGTGGGTGGCGCCGCCCCAGCGACAGCGTTTGGCCATGGCTCACACTCCCACCGTTACTCAAGCATGGCTGCTCTTCCTCTACATGGTTCCTTCAACAGGTCTCTTGGCATTCAGGTCCACTCTATGATCCATAAGCCAACTTTCTTAGCATCCACTTCTGGTTTTTCTCCCATGTATGGACATAATGGGTGGTCTAGAAAGCCTATTGATCAGCAACCGGCGATCGGGCGGCTTGCACCGGGGAATTATCAGTTTGGGGCATCTGTAGGATCGTCATCAGGTGGTGGCGCTGCTAGATTCGATGGCTTTCACAAGTTTTCTCCGGTAGGCGATGGAGTNCCCCCCCCCCCCCCTTCTCTCTTTCCTCCTCCTCTTACACATACACACCCAATTGTTTCTATAATAAGGCCTTATAACTGTATATTCTCCTTCCATATAGGGCACCATAACATTTATTTCTAATCAATAACATTACAACCTTCTTGGTATTAAACACAATCTTTATCACCCACAAGGCTTGCTTCAAGTCCTCCATATGGAGGTACCAAAACTAAAGCCATGTACTCGCTCTAAAAGTCCAAGCATCATTTCAGTCTCAGAAACCCTACCATGCCTGAATAGCTCAATGGAGATTCAAAAAGTACAGGGTAAACAAATGGAAAAACAAGATCAAAAGCAAGAAGTAGAGAAGAACCCTGATTTTATATTGGATTTAAACCTCTGTAGCAAGGATTCAGATCAAGACATCAAGCCAGAACTCAATCTCATTGATTGTTTTCGCATGAGTTCATCAAGAAATTCACTAGAGACTCCTCAAGGTAATAAAGGTGAGCCACCACAAGTCTTCCCATGCAACTACTGCCAAAGAAAATTCTACAGTTCACAGGCCCTTGGAGGCCATCAAAATGCACACAAACGAGAGCGGACAATAGCAAAACGAGGGCAGCAGGTGGGTGGCGCCGCCCCAGCGACAGCGTTTGGCCATGGCTCACACTCCCACCGTTACTCAAGCATGGCTGCTCTTCCTCTACATGGTTCCTTCAACAGGTCTCTTGGCATTCAGGTCCACTCTATGATCCATAAGCCAACTTTCTTAGCATCCACTTCTGGTTTTTCTCCCATGTATGGACATAATGGGTGGTCTAGAAAGCCTATTGATCAGCAACCGGCGATCGGGCGGCTTGCACCGGGGAATTATCAGTTTGGGGCATCTGTAGGATCGTCATCAGGTGGTGGCGCTGCTAGATTCGATGGCTTTCACAAGTTTTCTCCGGTAGGCGATGGAGTTAAAGAACTTAAAGGATATAGGCTCGATAGTGGTAACCCTTTGAAGACTAATCAAGATGAGTTACAGAAGCTAGACTTGTCCCTCAAACTCTAAGTAGTTTTATCATTTTCTTTCTCAAATTTTGTCTTACTTTTTCTTTGTTGATCATTCAGAGTTTCTACCTTAACAAAGTTTTCTTTTAAATGTCCTATTGGTACATAGGGCTTGAGTGATATTTTTTGCTTCTCAGTCGATTTACTCCCTCTCTGTGTGTGTATTTCAAGCAAAGTAGCAGGTTTGTTGCAACAGTCATGGTTACTCCATTATGGCATGGGAGTCATGAATTCAAGTTTTGTAAATAGTATATTTCATAGATAAAATTATTTACGTCCGATCCTTGCTAGAATTCGATAATTGGAATCTTGTATAGGCTGGTTTGATACTTGGAGGAAAGGTATAGTTAGAGGTATGAGAAGTTACTTAGAATTTGGAGGCAAATTCTACAATGCATTCTCCCATGAATAATTGTGTTCACACTGATACAACTTTATAATGCAAATCCATCTTTTTACACATTTGTCCATGGACTGAGTGATAAGGCTTTAGGAGAAGTTTACGGTATTGAAATTTATTTATTTTTATTTTTTAAAAATAATTTTGAGATTATTCTATAACTTTTGTGATAATTTACAATTAATTTTTAAAATGTTAGAATTAATCATAATGTTTTTAAGATTAATCGTAAAACCATCACAAAAATTATATTTTACTCAAAAAATTATAAATTTTGTTATTATAAAACGAACCTCAAAATTTAAATTAAAACCCACAAAAAATTTAAAATCTCAAAATATGGTATCAAAATTAAATTTCTTTTTTAGTGTCGTAGTCTTGAACAAGGTTTTATGTTTTTTTCTTTCATATGATATCATATTTCTGACATTTGGAGAGAGAGAATGATTGATGTATTTGTCACTACCCAAGTAGGCATCACCCGTACAGTTTGATTTATATAATCCTATATTTCTGAATGAACATGGTTCACTAGATGGATGCCACTTGGATGGTTGTGAAGATTGTCTGAATTATGGCATAGTGGACCCACTTGCAGACGAAGTAATAGACTATCTATTGGGCAGTCTTGATCAATAGGGTGGTGGAGTCATGTGGAGAGTAGGGTTTATAATAAGCCTCAGCTATGCAATCACATCATTTTTTCCATATTAAAATGGTGCAAATCTTAATTTCTTACTTGAGAGATCTCTCACAGGACCCATGGGTCCAGATTGATAATCATTTTCATTATCAAAGAGTGATTTAAGTAAAAGATATGCTATGATTATACTAAAACAAGTGTACAATCTCAATCTCAATCTCCACCATGAAGGGTGAATGAAGCCTTTGATTATGCCTCTCACTCACTGATGGTCTTTTAATTAAAGGTTAATTATTTTTTACCATCTTATGGTTTCGGGTCTTTCAATTATAGCATCTTACCTACTTAACGTTTAAAATTATGCACATTATCTCATTGAAGTTAGGTAGAAAAGTAAAATGATTACTTTTATTATCTAAGTTAACTCACCCAAACACATGATATTGGCTTTGTTTCCATTGTTTCTCTCCAAAAAAATATTATTAAAGTGCCTAAAATATCTTATAATATAAGGTGTAATACTTAAATAGGTAGGGCATCGATCCAAATCAAAAAAACATGTAAGAAAAATATAAGTAATTTTTTGCCCTACAATAAAACCTCATTTGAGGAAAAAAAAAAAAACTCAACATGCTTGACTGAAATTTGTTGGTTTGTTGTCATGTATCAATTAGTTTTATTGTCAAGAGTAAATTAGACTAAAGTTTGATTTTGAAACATGGATATTATGAAAAAATTTTATTCTATTAACAACATCAATTATTTTACTTTGATACATAATCATAAGGGGATAATGTACATAATTTTAAGCGTCAAGTAGGTAAAGTACTTCTAGTCGAAATTGTAAAGAGAAAAAAATTAATTTACCCTTTAATTAGAGAAAGAGATGATTGTTTGTGTTTAAGTTTTTTTTAATATGGGATTGAAATGATCGTTTTGATATTTGAAATCTGAATAATGAAAAGAGAAATTAAATAATCAAAATTATCATTATTTTTTATTGTCACGTTTCTATCCTTTCTAAATATGAAGTTCAAATTAACAACAATCATACAATGAAATTCGTGCTCAAAAAATTCACGAAAAGATAAAGAACCAAAATCACAAGTATCTTCTATCGTGATTTGAGGTTCAACTTAACACAATCATGTAATAAGAATCGTGCCCTCAAAATTCAAGTCTATCATTTGTAAGAACCCTGAATTCTCATTTCGTATACGGGTGATGCAATCAAATCATGATGATATGATTTTCATCTTGCAAACTTTGCCTTTTGAAGTTCCACCCAACTTTATAATAAGATATTGATTCTCTCTTAAGAAAGTTGCACTTATAGCAGTCGACATGGCTTGTGCAACATAATAACATCTGTTTGATGTAGGAGAGGGTCGGTGACTAATGCTATTGTTGATGTAGGGTTGGTGGATTGGTGCCCACCTTTCCTACAATGCGAAGAGCTTACAAAATGTGTTCCTGTTATGTTTATGTTTGTACACATGTCTAGGTTTAAATCTATTATTGGATGGTGGGACATCGTTGTTGATAACTTGATAGAGCTTAGTGAGTTACTGGATAATGAAACGAAGGTGTACGGCAATGGTGGTTGGCACAGTACTGCTAGTGTAAAACACAGATCTGCAACTACCACTTTAACTCAACAAGTATATATGTAGTTTCAGCAAAAGGATGAACACGACGAGGAAGTGTACATCCATTGTTGATTTCCACAATTGAAAATTACCCAAGGAATACACTCGGGACGGATTCAAAAATTTAGTAAAGGGGACGAAGGTATACGGGTTGAAGATTGCATTTAAGACTTGTCTTATTAATTAGAAAGGGTAGATACATACACGACGATAAGACAAAACCTAAAAAAATATGATACGGACACGACCGTGATACGTTTATAATAAAGTATATTAAACAAAATTAGCATTTTTTACTTTGAAAAATGTGTAATATCATTTTATTATAATTCATACATAAAGTGAACGCGACTAATTGAAAGAATTAAAATTAATATTTAACTAATTGATTTATTTACAAGGATTTATTTCAAATGTTATATCGTTATAGTTTAAATAACTTCTTTATTTTTTAACATGTTAAAGTAAATAATACTTAAAAAATACTTACGTTTTTAAAAATCATATTGTATATTGTTGATATTTTTGTATTGTATATAAATTTGAAAGAAATAGTTATAAATTAAAATCTAAACTTGTACATCTTGTTCCACGTGTAAAAATATGCGCAAAATATCTGAGTAGGAATATTGCTGTTTAAATCGCTTTAGTTCTTCGTTGTAGTCCAAAAAATTATTGAACAATTCAATTTTTTTTGAAAAATAACTCTTTGAATCCAAATTAATGAGATTAGGAGAATCGCTTTTTAAAAAGTTAGATTGTCTTTTAATATGTCGGCAATACACGAGTCAACGTTATTGCTTTGACTCCACATACTCAGTGGTGGAGGTGAAGGTGGAGGTGGAGTTGGCCATTATTAAAGAGAAGACCATTCTTTGTAATGGTACGAAAGGGACGGACTCTGTAAACATGTCAAATTTTTCACTAGCTGCACATTTCCATAATGATATTGATAGCGTAAGTAACCAAGTACAGAAATTCTCAGCCTGATATAAATAAATGGATTTGTACAAGGAAATGCATAAGAATATTCTCCATTAAATATCCCGTTAAGCATAGTCCTAGTTTGAAATTGTGAGGGCCGGTCATTAAACCAAGGCCCAAAGGGGGAGCCTGAGGCAAAAGGCCTCAGCCCGTTTGACCAGCCAGTGTTAAGGCCCTTCAAATTAAATGTTTTGTAGGTGATGCATCGGACAAGTGGAGTAAAGAACATTCTTATACTACCAAAATTGTTTATTAAATTTTGTATATTAAATCAACGTAGATGATTAGATTAATGAGTTTCATCAAGGCTCACTAAATATTTAGTGCATAAAATTTCGTCACACCACTTCATATATTGTTTCCAAAATTTTGTGGCATTATTGAAATACCCAAATATACTGAGACACTATAAATATTGGGCAAAAAATCGTTATTGTTCAACACTTATGCTATGCGGTAAGAAAGATGAAAAGTAGGAGAAATGCACTTTCTATCATTTAAGAAAAAAAAAGTAGGAGTAATGCATTTTTCTTCCTTTACGAAAAAGTATAAATACATATTTTATTATTATATATATATATATATATATATATATATATTAAGTAATATTTAGACAAATAAGATAAATTTTAACACAAATAATTAATTTTTTATCCACATAAAAATTAATGGTTTAGGTGTGTCACATTCTTTAGGGGTATTTAGTTTGGTTTTGCAATATGATTTGGTAGAAAATAGGAGATTGGGTACCAAAACGATACCGCAGTTAGGCCCCACAAGATAAGGGTATTTAAGTATAATTTTCAGGGTCATCTACAACGACCTTTCAATTTATAAACTATGAGGGTGTCCACTATAATTGTTAGATTCCAGTAGGTGTCAGTGTAATTTTGTCAAATAAATAAGACCCAACCTTGTATCCCGCGAGTTCACATCTCAAACCCTAACACTTGCGCAGCCCTCTCTCCGCCATAGCAGACGACGTAGCCGGCAATCGCAGCTACGTCCGGTGAGGTAGGTCTCTTCCTCTTCTCTGTCTTATACCCATTCCGTTTTGTTTTTTCTTTTTCCTCTGGACTTTAATTAACAAACCCGGACCTTTAACACACCTCCGGCTCACCAATCACCACCGATATAAGTCACCACTACCATCGACCTCTGCACCATCCACCATCACCGGCGACCCAAAACATTTACGCGTTTAAAGTCAAGCCATCACCGGATTGCTGTCAGATAGCGAGAGGGCTCAACCACTAATTTTGTTTTTTTTTTTGAGATGTTATTTGAAGGAAGAATGTTAAATTTGTGCTTTGTTCTTACTTGTTAGACTAGAGTATTTGGATACCGAGACCACCATGGCCGATGAGGAACAGAAACCTTTGACATATATACCGGAAGTAATATTGAAGAAGAGGAAGAGCAATGAACAGTGGGCTATAAGAAGGAAACAGCAGTTGGAGCAGAGGGTTAGGAAGATCAAGGGTGATAATTTTGTTATTAAGAAGCCTGAGCAGTTTATCAGAGAGTACCGTGACAAGGTAAATACTGTTTATGGCTTTGCAATCTAGTTAGCACTTCACATGATGCTTTGAGTATCCATTCCCGAATTTTCTGATGATTAAGTTCCATGATTCCCTAGCATTGTTCTCTGTCTTGATTGATTGATCTATCTAAATTCATTTCAACCTTTTCGTTTGTAGTGCTAGAAAGGACTTTTGTTGTGCTCAGTTTAAGTAGTGAGATAATGAATATAAGGAAATTGCAGAAATAAGTGAAAAATTTTGATTTTTACTAACCAAAATCAACCTTTGATTAGTCAAGATGAGGCATGAAGGGTATGGAGGCTTTATATGGGCATCATATTTGTCAAATTTGTTATATTTTTTTGAGAACATACATGAATAAGGAAGTAGCTCCAATCTTCGTTTGTTAGGCACACTTTCTGTGTTCCTTCCTAATGTAAAACATGTAGGTAGACACATATCAAGAAGTCAATATCATGTTTTGCATCACACTGCTAGTTCACACGATTGGAATGTCCATATACCATGCATGCAACCTAACTACACAGTATAAACAGTATTTAGGGATTTTATCTGCATAATTGTATGTCCATTCGGAAGAGTGATCTGCTTACAAATTATCAACGCCCCTGTGGCTGGATTGTGCATTGAGATGGGAGGCTTATACTGACAAGCTTACTTACTCTTTGTCGTCTCTCTCTATTTTGGTTTCCATAGAAGAAGTATTCCCCAATAAGAAAGCCGGCCTTCATTCATCATGTTCATGCATTCTCTTTAAATATACTCAAACTCCATTGGTGTTTGCACGAAAGCATGCATTCTTAAGCTGATGTCAGCTGGAATCCTGCTTCGATACCAATGGGGTTTAGATTGCTGTCAACTCTGCTTCAGTCCATGATAATCATCTAATATCCTTCTTATCTGCTGTTTTGCACCCAGGAATTGGATCTCATCCAGATGAAACACAGGGGAAAGCGGCAAAGAAGATCATTGGTGACACCAGAATCCAAGCTCCTTTTCGTCATTCGCATACAAGGGTGTGTGATAAATGTTGTTTTTTAATGATTTCCCCACATTTCTGCATTTTATCTTTTGATTCTGATGTCTGCCAGTTTGTTTCCAGAAAAAAGGACATGCACCCAAAAACAAGGAAGGTCTTGTATTCTCTGCGGCTGAGAAGGATCTTCAGTGGTGTCTTTCTGAAGGCAAATGAAAGGATAATGGAAATTTTGCAAAGAGTGGAACCATATATTACATTTGGGTAGTTCAAACTGATATTTATAGTTGTTCTTTACTAGACGTCATATATCCTAGATGTTAAGAGGATATGTAGCAACGGTGGGGCATCGAAGTATCTTGTGTTCTTGGATTTGGCGATCCAGTGCATCATGTTTCCCCAATGTTATCTGCTTTATGTGTCCACCATATGATTGCTATTAATTTGTTGTTGATATTCACTTGTGGATAATATTTTTGTCATGGATGATAATTGCTTACCAGATTTCTTGCTAAATTCAAGTGTTTGATTTTAGCCACTTGTTGGTACTGTTTGGCAACTCTCTTTTTTCCCCTTAATTTTCTGTCGAGTTTTTTTGAACCAAAAGGTAAAAAATAACATTTGATTTGTGCTGGAATTGCTTTTTAAAAGTTGAAAAACAACTTTTTTTGAAGTAATTTTTTTGGCCCGTTTTTGGGTTTGGGTTCATGCTCTTCCCCCAAGCTGAACTACATGCATAGTAGTACATGAATGCAATGTAGGTGTATGACTTATGTATCATGACATGTATGTATTACTTTTGAAAATAGCCATCGAACATAGTAGCACTTTTTGATAAAACAAAATGTTGAAGTTACTTCTTTTCTGAGCAAAGTACTTTAGTGTGGCAAATGCTGCCCTTATTTTTGAAATGTGGCGACATTAGTTGAAGGCAGTGAACAACAATCACTGACATATTTGGCCTCAATAGTATAAGAAGATTGGCATTTATATCTTGTTTATGGACATCCATTCCACAGCAGCAGGCTTGTAATATGCAAGTCTTCTGATAAAGTGGTTTTGTAAGTGTCACTACCATTGGTGCACCCTCCTCGCATGTTCACATTTTTTGTGAGAAGATGAGCNGCTTGTAATATGCAAGTCTTCTGATAAAGTGGTTTTGTAAGTGTCACTACCATTGGAGCACCCTCCTTGCATGTTCACATTTTTTGTGAGAAGATGAACAATATGTTGCTTGTTGCAAGCATCTATGTCATTTTCATTTTGGTTGTTCTTCTCTGATTATGGTCCTAATGCTAGTTTGTTTGTGTTTGAAGATATCCTAATCTCAAGAGTGTGAAGGATCTGATTTACAAGAAAGGTGCAGTGAAAGCTGATAAGCAGAGAGTTCCTTTAACGGACAATAATATCATTGAAGAGGTATTAGATATATTTTACTGAATTGTGTTGCAGTTGTTCCCCGTTTACATTTGCTGCCCTAGTTTTAATATTTTGTCCCGTTATTTTTTCTGTGCCAGGCACTGGGTCAGCATGGCATCGTCTGCATAGAAGACATCATAAATGAGGTTGCTAATGTTGGTCCACATTTTAAGGAGGTCAGTCGTTTTCTGTGTCCCTTCACTTTAAACAAGCCAGAGAAAGCATTACAGGGTAAGAAAAGGCTATTCAAGGATGGAGGAGACACCGGAAATCGTGAGGATCAAATCAATGAGTTAATTAGTAAGATGAATTAGCAAGCAGAAATCTAGTCCTGGATACATGTACTTTTGGAGTGAACCTCAATTTCCATCGAAATTATTGGAATGTTGTAGTGCGTATAATTTGGCCTGGTTACTGAAGTTCATTTAAGCCTTGTCAGAGTTTTGTTTTTCACACCTGATGTAGTTGTTGGGTTAATGCTAGCCAAGTGACTTGTGGGTTGTGAAATTATAATCTGAGCTGTTTTTTTGACACGAAATGTTGTTAATATCAACAATTGAAGTTAAATCGGATGCAGTTGATGATACACCTTTGATGCTGTAACCCATCCTCAATGATCTGAAGAAGAAAATTTATCAAGTCGTGAAGGCGATGTTGATTATCGACTGAATTGGCTACGTTGTCTTTTTACTAATTCAGACTGAAAATCTGCAGATTCCTTTGGAAGGATGTTCTTTACAGTTCAAGTCTTCAGTCCTGCATTGAGACAGCTAATGTATATTGATGGGAAAGACTTTGCTGAAGACTACAGCCGGAATACATCTAGCACTAGCATTGTATATGCATATTCAAAGAAATCATATATCCAATGGTAATTGTTTTAATTTGAATTTAAGTTAATTAAAAAATATTAGCAAAAGTGTCGGACCCGATCAATTGAGTCAAGGATGAGGGCTCGGGATGGCTTTGCTGGATTGGTGCTCAATGGGTCCTGGAGTCGTGCACTGTGTCGGACAGAGCCATCACTGGTTTCAGGCTGGTTTGGATACATAGAATATGTAAGTCAAGTGTTTTGGAATATTTATCTCTGGGCCCCATTCATTGTGCTCCCTTCTTTTTGTGCTAAATTTAGGCCTTTCTTTTGGTGACATGGTATTTCTTGAACTCATATCCTCACCACTTGAAGTGGTGGTGGTCTAGTGGTAAGCCCTACTCGTTTAGGATTGTTTTTGGCTCATGTGATTATTAAGTAGGGTTTTATTTACGAGAATAATATAATTTGTTAGTTGGTTTTGGTGATGTGGTGACGGGCAACACAGTGGGGGGATCTTCATGTTTACACCCAAAGTTACTATCTACTGGTCACCCCTATCTTTTTTCCAGTTCAAAAGAAAAAAAAAACTCATCATCGTACCCGAGCTAAAAAGAACTCATCCTCTTCTCGCATTTGACATCGTTGAGATTTATTTGAACAACCTTGAACATATCAAACCATATCATAATGTTTAGGATTGATTTTTATTTGGTTATACATATTTGGGGGATTTTATTGAAAAATTGATTATTTTAGAATTGTTTTAGTGAGTTATAGGGTTTAACTTTTGGAATTTTTTGCTAAGAAATAAACTTTATTTTAGCTCGAGTTTGACACGAATGCTCTCGTCAAGATTTTCACTAATAGCTTATAACTTTTATGATAAAAAAAAATAAAATCAAACGTCTCCAGTTAGACAAGGGTCAAGCATCAATCATAGCATTCGATTTTTCTCCCAAGAAATCTCTAGCTCGTTCTATACATTTCAAGAAGACCCAAAATGGATTTTGTTACAACTTAGTTTTATACTTTTATTTCGTATGTGCCCATCAAATTTCCACTCTGCTTTTGTCTAGCTATGTGCCATTATTGGTCTCTTCATTGCACAGCTTCTTCATTGTCTTCGGGCGGAGCATCTGGATTTAATAATGTAGGTATGATAATGACATCTATGGATCACCTTCTGAAGCTATGTGCTGTTGGAGGATCAACATGACTTGTGCCATCGTCCTCCGGCAGCTTGACTGCAGAGTAAACACCTGCTCCGGCCAGTGCTCCCAGTATGGGAGCAGTGAGGTACACCCATATGGCTTTGTAGTTGTTCGCAGCTATCGCCGGCCCCAAAGTTCTCACCGGATTCATTGAAGCTCCGGTGGTTTCCCTGCCATTTGTTTGACTCATCAGCATAAAAAATAAGTAAGAACTGACCATCTCTAATCACAAGGTTCATTTCCCATTATTCAAAAATACTTTGATCAGCCCTAATAGCCCAGTCAACAGGGAAGAAGAACAAACAACTCCAATAAAAAGCAATCCCCCCCCCCCCCCCCCCCCCCCCCNCAGCTCTGGTGTCGGTGGCCACAGCAGTAACAACAAACATGAGATTGAAAGTAATAATGAACTCCAAAGCAAATGCTTGACCATAGCCCCCTGAAGGAACAGTGACTCCCCCACCCATTACGGGGTGGAAAATCCCCTTCAATGCAAATGCTGCACATAATGATGCCATCACTTGTGCTCCAATGTACACTGGCACCTACCAAATATCCATTGGAACCCCAAGTCAGTGAAACAAACTATAGGAAAATCTAGATAAAAATTAGCCTGCGATTCAATAGAAAATATGGTCTTTAACAGAGCATATAATCCTAATAGTTCATGTAATAAATTTCAAAAAGTTCAGATAAAGTTTTGTTGAGGTGAGTTGAGTATTTAGATCAAAATTAGAGCTTTATATAGAGTTTCGCACATGCTTCCACGGGAAGTGCCTGAGGGCTGCGAAGGCAATGGTAACGGATGGGTTGAGATGAGCCCCTGAGATGTGGCCGGTGGACAGTATAACGATCATGACGGCGAGGCCAGTGGAGGCAGCCAGGCCTATAAGGGTCTCGGAGCCTTGTGTCTTTTGGTTCACTATGGCGGTGGCTGTCCCTGCAAAGATGAGAATCAGAGTGCCTATGAACTCAGCTCCTACCTGCAGGTTTTGGCATCAACCCATGAAAAACAAGCACGAAATATGTTGAGTTCAGACTATTATTGATCCTGATACACACCCACACATATGATTCAACTCCAACTTGCTTTCGACATTTAGCCCATTAACAAGAGAAACAAATGGACTCTCTCCCATATACCTTTCTTGCAAGTGAGACAGGAGGTGGTGGCAATGCGCAGGAGACAGAGGGTAAGCTTCCCTCTTCCAAAGCCCAAGCTTCAACACTGAAGCATTTGCAGCTCTTGAGAAGAGATCTTCTAACACTGCCACTTCTCTCTGGTTTGAACCCACCAAAAAGAGGGGCACCAGGAGTCCCTGGTGTTACGGGTGTTGAGGGGGCTGAGGCAACATCTTCAGACTCCATCACCAACTCCAAAGCAACAATAGAAATGGAGAAACGCGATAACGACAAAGTGGAACCTAGTGAGAGAAGCTTGAACTCACAGTTCTATGTCCTTACGTTTTCTTGGGAACTGGGCCTTCGTGCATTTATAGCAGTGAGGTGGTTGACTTGGAGAATCCCAAGAGATCAAAAAGCAAGAAAAGAAACTATTGGAGGGAATGGAAATGCGGAGGAAGAAAGTGGGTTTGGAAGTGGACGGTGGGACTGTCTGGGACATTTAATCAAACACATAGCATTTCGAATTTGAAAGATGCTATGAACTTGTGGACACATAACTTGTGGTTTTTATGTCTCTGCCACTTGGTTTTGTATATTTGCTCCCACTGTACTCAATGCCTGCACTAAAATTATGGAGTACACCATTGTGCACATTCCACACAAGCTGAGGGTTGGTACGGNCTTGGTTTTGTATATTTGCTCCCACTGTACTCAATGCCTGCACTAAAATTATGGAGTACACCATTGTGCACATTCCACACAAGCTGAGGGTTGGTACGGTGGTTAGATTGTTTTTTTATAACTTTGAAGCTGTCGTCGTAAAAATAATCTCGACATATAAAAATATAATTACAAATATCTAATTTTTTTGGGAACCTATAATGGCAAAAGTTTCTTAACCTAGTTTTAGCATCGGATTGTCCAATTTTTATTATTGTGGACACAACCTCTTAGTTGTCAAAAGAAACATGTGGTGTCCAAGTTGTCAAAGGTTGGAGAACATGAGAGAGAATCATAGTTGGTAAACTGCTAGGGAGTGAGTGCTTTTTTAATAAATAAAAAAGAGAAAACTTCAATTTAGTACCTTATGGTTTAACCCATTTGCACATCACCTCGGTGGTTCAAAAATGATACATAATCCTCTTATGGTTATTGGATTAAAATGCAACGTTAAAATCTTCATCTATTTTAATGATTCGTATCTGCTATGCGCCTATTGTACAATTTGATATAAAAAATACATGCCGAACAAACAAAAAAAAAAACCCCTCAACTGTTTTCGTGTGTGTGTCTTATTCTCACTTATGCATCTCATCTAATGATAACAACCATGATTACCGCCCATGCATTCTGTTACTGAGCAACCACCACCACTAACCTCTTTTTTGTCCACAGTCTCCACCATGTCTTTCTTCACCGATCTACCACGACCACCGGCCTCCGTATGATTTTGATTTTCTATCTTTGTTTTAATTTGGATTTCCTATATTGTTTTGATTCTAAATTTATATTTCCATGTCGATGTCTAATTTGATTCTATTTTCAGTTTGATTTTTGATTCATGTTTTGATTTTTGGTGAAGAAAAGTGAAATTGACATGTTGGGATATAAATTGAGTTTTGTTGAGGTTGAATTGTGAAAGTGCACTGGTTCGTATGGCGCAGGCAATGGGCTGCAATTGATGGAGATGGTGCAATGAATGGCGCCGGAGTTAGGGTGGCCGGGTTGTCGAATTTAGTGGTGATGACGATAATGGTTAGATAGTCAAAGTTAGTTTAAGATAATTCTTTTTTAAATTAAAAACAAATTAATGAGTATTAAAGTCATTTTATTGTAATATTTGATAGAATTTATCAATACATTTTAGTCCAACAATCACAAGTGGGTTATGTATCATTTTTGAAATGCATGGAAGTGATACACAAATAGGTTAAACCACAAGCGTTACAATGAAGTTTGCCCTAAAAAAGAACTTGTTTTCCCTTAATAATATAGTGGGGCTGTGCATTCTTAATATCTTGATGACACTGAATAAAGTAGCCATGTTTTGGAGCATTGCTATCATAATTCACAAGAAGGCAAAAAAGAAGGCATAATTGGTCTGGTCCTAGGGACGGGGGCATTCTAACCCCTAGTCAACTTGCTTAATTGCCTAGACAGCTAGCCTTTTCATGGCTATTGTTGTCAATGTGTTGGTGGGTGGTGATAATATTTCTTTCTTGTCAAGCTGATGGATCAAAGGGAGAAAACTGGTTACTATTCTTTTGACGGAGAGAATGGAATTTGGTGTAACAATGAGATTGTTTCGTTCTAACTTTAGGGTTATGAGTTGACTCAGGGAAGTAGTCTTATGGTCTGTTCCGTCATTATAAAGGCATCATCCTGATGGGAATGGAATACATGCCATGATTTGATGTTAAGTTCGTGGCATAGAAATTGAGCTTTTGTATCACGCAGGGAAGATGAAGCTAGTCAAAGGAAGCTGAGAATTTGTTCATTGCTTGCTTACAGCATATGCTCGTAACGATAGATCACATGGAAAGGTTTGTTTTTATGGTTTAACAGTGTGGGGGTGTCTGGGGTAATTTACGCACATCTCGACTAATTTTCTTCTCAGTTTAGTTAAAGACAAGTCATCCATGTCAGAACTAAGATATTCATGAGGAATAAATCTATCATAGAATAGTCTTAAAGAATTGTTAAGATTCGAACTCAAAATGTTTGAGTTTACAATTCATCACTTATACCACTTACAATCGACGAGGATGATTGGAAGAAAAGGGATGCAAGTATAATTTGTTTTCCAAAATATTGTGTATATAATTAGATTTAGTAAACTTAAAAACTAATGCAAATCCAAAACAGAGAGCCAATTAAGCAGGGGGTGCTAACAAGTGCTCTTGGAGGACGCCTACTTTTGCGAAGAGGGCACCTTTGGAGGGGCATCTACTTTTTGGGGAGACAGAATACAAAATTTTGTCTTTAACACAACTATCTTAGATTATAACAATATGTAATCTAATTATATAACAAAGTCATAAAACCAGAAACTTTGTCTTAAGATTGTCATCCAAAACATTGTATATATAATTAGATTTAGTAAACTTAAAAAACTAATGCAAATCTAAAACATAAAGCCTATTAAGGAGGAGGGCGCCAACAAGTGCTCTTGGAGGGCGCCTGCTTTTGGGAGAAGGTGCTTTTGGAGGGGCGCCTACTTTTGAGGAGAGGGTGCCTTTGGATGAGCGCCTATTTTTTGGGGAAGAAGGTGTCTTCTAAAGACAAAATACAAAATTTTATTTTATTTTTAATTTAAAATATCGTATTGAACACGAGAATTAGAATACAAAATTATGTCTTTAACACAACTATCTTAAATTATAATAATATGTAATCTAATTATATAACAAAGTCATAAAACCTGAAAACTTTGTCATAATATTGTTATCCAAAATATTGTGTATATAATTAGATTTAGTAAACTTAAAAAACTAATGCAAATCTAAAATAAAAAGCCTATTAAGGATGAGGGTGCTAACAAGTTCTCTTGGAGGGCGTATGCTTTTAGAGAAGGTGCCTTTGGAGGGGCGCCTACTTTTGGGGAGAGGGTTTCTTCTGGAGACAGAATACCTAATTCTATTTTTTTTAATTTAAAATATCATATTGAACACAAAAATTAGAATACAAAATTTTGTCTTTAACACAACTGTCTTAGATTATAACAATATGTAATCTAATTATATAACAAAGTCATAAAACCTAAAACTTTGTCTTAAGATTGTTATTCAAAATATTGTGTATATAATTAAATTTAGTAAACTTAAAAAATTGATGCAAATCTAAAACAGAAAGCCTATTAAAGAGGAGGGCGTCAACAAATGCTCTTGGAGGACGCCTACTTTTGGGAGAATGTCTTTGGAGGGGAGCCTACTTTTAGGGAAAGGGTGACTTCCATTGGAGCGTCTTTGCATTAGCTTTTGTCATTAGGTTTAGCCAAATTACCTTTTGAAAAAAAAAAATCAGCCAAATTAATGCATATTTGGCCCAAAAAAAAAAACCCGAATGTGTCAGATTTTTTTAATAAAATAAGAGGGCATAATTTAAAAAAAAAAAAAAGAATAAAATGAACGTGCACTTTTTGATCTCCTCGATACTTGTGTCAATTGCTTTAAACATTAACTTCTGTTAAAAGAACAATATTATATAGATTTTATTTGTTAACCTTATTATTTTTTATCATTCGAAGAGTGTCACACGTAAACTTCACTATTAATTGAGACTTAATATCAATGTAATGATTATGATTGAGATTCACTATTAATTCAATGACTATGATCTATCACGTAAACAAATAAAGTGACTAAATTAGGTATAGATAATATTTTTTCCTATTAAAAATGCCAACTGAGATAATGTGTTGTAATGTGTAGTACCCATAAAAAATTTTGGATCGGAAGGGAGAACAAAAGGAAAAGACACCGAAGAAAGAGTGATTGCTGATCAAGGAATACCACTAAATTTGATACATATGGTCTCGCATTATTTCCACAGGATACTACCATTTTCTTTCATGGTCTTTTCACTCGTCTTCAACTGAGTGTAGACTTAGATTAGGTGTAGGCCTGCATATATTCACATCACATCACATGTAAACAGGGAAGCAAGTGTTGCCAGGAATAGCTCCAAAACTATTGATTGAAGGAGACAGACTTGTTGCAATGCATCACTTCATTGGCTTTTTTTTTTTATTTAGGCCTAATTGTTCATTTTTTCCAGAGATCTTTGCTTTCTGTTACAATAACATAGTCTAACCCACCAACGTTATTCGGAGGATAGGACTTGACTGATTTATATTTCCATTTCCTAAGTTCGACTCTATGGAATTGATGCACGCATTTTATAAATGATTCCTGTATAGATATTGATTCTACAGAGCAATAACAAGTTCAAAATGCATGTGATTAAGACAATTTTCGACTATGAAAATAATTCATTTTGTGAATATCTTTTTCCCTTCATAGATTACTTATTGGGAATTTAAGTGGGATCTACTCTATGCACTAATACATGATCATACTAGATCTCCTCTGTCCTTACCCATTAAATGAAGTTTATCCTCCTATATTTATGTTAATCAAGCAGGAATAAATTAACTGTGCATGCACTTTCTTCAAACACATTTACTATGCTAGCAACACTATCATTTAGAATTCTCACCTTCCTCTCCATCTCAGTATAAATTTTTTTGACATCAAAATGAATAGTCATTCTAATTACACTTCTTTAATTCATTGTTATTAGGTATGTCAATCGTGTGGAGTGAGGTGAGTTTGTATTACGTCTTAGTGGATTCGTATTAAAAAATATTTTATTTATATCTAATTCATTTATTAATTAGTGTCTAACAAATCGTATCATATCAAGTTTGTGTTGTGTATGAATCGTGTATAATTGGTATATAAATAAGTCATATCGTGTATTTTTTTAATTGGTCTCATCCTTATTTGATTTGTTTATTAATCGTGTGAAATGGGTCGTCAAATTTTAACAACCTTAAATGTTACAATATAATTTCAAATGTATGTAGTTAATGGTGCTTGAAATCTTTCTACCCAATGGCTCAGAGGGGTTTTGTGTGTGCTTGTGGATGAGAGTGTGCGCAATGTGTAGAAAATGGCAAAAATAATAATGTAAGTGGTTCACCTCAGCCAAATGACTAAGGCTACATCCATTGTGAAAGAGACTCTTGCTCTGTTTGAAATTATATTTCTTGAAGAAGAAGACAGTAACTACAGAAGACTTTGGCTAGGAGTCTTTCTCCAAAAAAATGCTATATCCGATGTACTATCTCTCTTCTATCTCCTATTTTTGCGATATCTTACACAGTTACCTCGTTTTCTATTTGCACATCTTATTCCTAGGGTTTCTGCAAAACTTCCTTCTTTTGGTTGATTATGTGATCCCCTTGTCATTTGTCCTATAGTTGATCTTGCCAACTGACGTATTCTGTGCCCACTACCCTTGGAATGGAATGTGTGAGGTAACAACACTATCGGTGAATATTTGTTTATTAGAATCGTCAGGTATTGTCCACGTGGCGTGATTGGGGTTATCTTTAATATGCTCGTTGCTGAGTTCTGATCTCTTGAGCAGAAGCTTATCACCAAGCTTGATGGCTGGCATATGTCCTGAGCAAAATGATCCTAGTCTTTCCATGGGCTGGATTGTGGACTAGACTAGATATGGAAGATGTTATCCAGAAGGGTGGCTTGGTTTGTGTGACGCCCCTAAAATCAGGGGTCCTTTGTCAACTCGTTGATCACTCATAAACCCATGGAATACTGTGTAAATTGATACCATGCCAAACTTTGCAAAATTTAGACAGAGTCTCTTTTGTACGGGAAGATATACCCAAAACGCAACATGTGTAATCATACAACGTTGATCACATCGGATCCATTTATCCATATTCATATAACAACATGCAATTTTACATTAAACATAGTTCATATAAGTTCGATTACAATCCTTTATATACATTATATGCCCAAAAACTAATTTATATCTTAATTTTACAAAACATAGTTTAAAAGCCACATTTCGGCTTTTCTTCATCAATGAGGGCCCGAATGAAAGTCGTCCACCGGTGCATGTCCCGCACTTGAAATATTGTCCCCATAATGGGTGAGTCATGCTCAATAAGATATCTCCTAAAGAGGCTACTCCCCAACCTAGATGCATATGAAATGTTCACATGCAACTGA